GCGAGGCATGTTTATCTATGTCTCTGTCTAGATCAGAAGTCTGGGCAGATATTTCTTACATAATAAGTATATAAACTTGAAAAACTACCATAGAATAATTTTTAGACATTAAAATCATGAAAATAAATGTAAACTTACTTTTTTCCTCTTTAGGCTAGCTATTCATTATTACTAAACAGAGGATTCATTTTCTTTTAATTTTTCCATTCATCCAAAAAATATCAAATCACAACAGCCATGTGTCCATTTTGGTTTTAAATTATCCACGATAGTTGCACTTCTCACAAGCCTGTGTGAAAAAGTTTAATCTTGTTTGAAATGAATGTTATAAACACTTGGTACGTGTTTATAGTGACTTGTTACAATTTAGAATCTGGTCATGTAACCATCTGTTTACATATCTGTTTACTTCATATCATGAAGTAAATAATATTCAATTTAAAGTAACCTTTAATGTAATAAGAATATCATCATTCTGCAATGTTAGTCCAATTTTGTTAAAAAGACATAGCTCCAAATGGAAATTTGCCAACAATATTTAGCTCAGGGTGGTGAATAATGGGTGACTTATTTATTTTTGAATGTGTTTCAATATATTTTAGAAAAATTTTTATAACAAATAAATTTTTAAATTATGAATTCAAGATATACTTAATTTGTTGTGTATATTTTCCTCAGTTTTTCAGGTGCCTTTTAATTTACTTTAAAGCGTTTTTATTTGGGGGGTTTGACACTCGAGCATTAAACGGTAATCAAATCTATTAGTCTCTTCCCTTGTTATTTATCCTCTTTATGTCATGCTTAGTAAGTCATTAACCTCATAATTATGTAAATTATATTTATGTTTTCTTCAAGTCCCTTGGAGATTTCATATTTTATACTTATTATTTTTAAAATTAGGTTTTACTTTTATTAAAGTAATGTAAAATAAAAAATATTGAACTGTAATATAACATTTACAATGAAAAAAAAGAAGCAAACTCTAGTCTCATTCTCCAGAGGCAACCATCTGTACTTGTAAATATGGTGCTTACTTGACTGTTGTTTGGCTTTATCAATTTTTGGACCTTCTCTTAGACTTTCTATTATGACAGATGAGATTTCTTATACTACCTCTCCTTTTACATATTCCTCCCCTCATACACTCAATATAATTAAGGCACAGCATTTGGTTAAATCAACATTTAGTGCTATGTATTATAAGTATTTTATTATCATTTGATTGCTTTTTTTTTTTTTTTTTTTTTTTTTTTGTGCAGTGCTTCGTTTTTCTTGTGGCATTTCTCTGTGGCTGTTGAGATTTCTTCTCAGACACCCAAATCCATCTACAAGATCCTAATTCAATGCCCTTTGTCCACCCTTTTTTCTACATGGCCAATTTCAGTGACTGTTAGTTACATTCCCACTCACCCTGAGAACTGTATTTTATTTAATTTATTATTTTCAGGAGCAAAAATAAAAGAATAAACCTATTTCTAAAGCAGATTGAAAGATCTCAGGAGCCTTTTAGCTGACCCTTGTCCCTGGGCCTCTCCCAGTACTGACCTGTATTATACCAGCTCTGCACAGGCTTTCATCTCCCTGCTCCCTCTGTAAGTGGCAGTAAGTCTCCCCTGACAAGCTGCTTAGGACATTTACAAGCCATTTGGCTTTTCGGTGCCTTATGCTTTTTGATTGTGACATGACAGGCCAGGGTGATCCGTCATTCCACAATAATAATGTCAGTGCCTCCCTGAGTGAGCCCAGACCCTTTTGCAGAGTTTGAATAACATCGAGATCAATGCCTTTTTCATTTGCTGAGATGGAAAGAGTTGACCTACTGGTCCCTTAAGCATCAGCTTTGTTACACTGAATGGTCGGAGACCAAATCATATTATCCCTCTGCCTTGGAGGAAGCATCAGGTTGTTTACATTTGTGCTTCCTCTTGTGTCTAGTATTTCCCTGGGCTCTGTCTATGCTGTTCAAAACAGAGAAAGAGGAATCAGTCTGAAGGGTAAGAAAAGGACATTATTACACTATGCTGAGCCAGATGCAATTGCTTTTCTTTATTTTGTTATGAGAGAGATGGTTTCATTCATAATTGATAGGAATTTAGGAAAGGATTTGTTGGACAATGCTCATTCACATAAAAACTAAGTATCAAGAAAGCAAAATCTAGAATTCTCCCTATTTCTTTTGTTATATTTAGCATGCATAATAACATCTATACATTAGCCAACAAATCTGGAATGAAAATGATCAACGGCACAGTTTGGAAGGATCAATGTGCCTTCAATACCAAGTTTTCCTACTAGTTTAAACCCCCTTGCCTAATATTTTCTGCTTCAGAAAGCAGCACTGGGAATAGAGCAGCCAGAGTGGTGAGAAGCCTGTTGATGGTGTCACACAAAAAATAAAGAGGTTGGTGATACATGAGGTCTGTCTGGAAAAAGCCCAGCCGTTAAGATAATGAGGACAGTTTGCATGACATCAATGTAACCTGGCAGCCAAGGAGAGTGGACTGGAATGAACATGCATGAACGATGACTTCTGACTTCGCTGTACTAGTCAGTGGGAGTGGTAGGCACCATTGAGTGAGCATGAGTACTGTGTCGCTGTCACATTCAAAATGACTGAGCAAGTAGAGCAAAGAGTATGCATCAAATTTTGCATTAAGCTTGAACATTCCTTTGGGAAACTATGTGGATGATTCAGAAGGCCGCAGCTATGGGCAACTGGTGATTGGCAGCTTCATCACAATAATGTGCCCACTTACGCATCCCATCTTGTATAGAGTTTTTTGGTGAAACATCAAATCACCCAGGTGACTCAGCCCCTCTACAGCCCAGATTTGGTGTCCTGTGACTTTTGGCATTTCCCAAAACTAAAATCATCTTTGAATGGAAAGAGATATTGGACTGTCAGTGATATTCAGGAAAATATGATGGGGCAGGTGATGGCGACTGGGAGACCTATGTGAAGTCCCAAGGTACCTCCTTTGAAGGGGATGGAGGCGTCATTGTCCTACATACATTGTTTCTTGTATCTTCTTCAGTAAATGTCTCTATTTTTTCTATGGCATGACTGGACACTTTCTGAACAGACCTTGTCTATAGCCAGATAGTGAAAGGCTATCCCCTAGTTGTTACAGGGGAGCGCTGCATGGGGTGGTCCTGGATCTGACGGTTACTGTCCGGAGCCAGCTGAGGGAACGGGGCTCTGAATCCTGCAGAGCCCATTCCGGGGTTCTCACAGATGGGGGAATAAACACGTGTCATTGCAAACACTTCTCTGTTTGCCAGGAGAGGGGACAGGCTCTTCCCTCTAGTGGAGAAGGCCCTGAGCCCCTGTGTCCAAAGACTTTTATTGAGAAACATCTGCACTGTGGTATGGATGCAAAGCTCATCAGTCAATGTCAAAAGTCTATGTTTACAGAAAAGAGATTATGCATAACAATGGAAGGAACACAATAGATCTGCCTCAGGCCGGGGTCTATGAATAATGTAAATCTCCTTCCCAGCTTGAGCTAGTTATCAGCTTTTGAGGGAAGAACAAAGCCTGCTTCAAGGAACTTACTTCTAGGCCTGATTTCCCCCTAGGAACCGCCTGATCCAGTTTAGGGCTGTACCTGCCTTTAGTATTGTTTCAAGCCTGAGCCAGGTGGGCGGAGCAGAGCTGCCAAGAGATCAGGAGACTTCTTTCAGGTAGAATGAGGACTCTGGCCATGTCCAGACTGAGCTAAGGAGTGCAGGCCTTTTTGCCCTTTCTCCGTGTCCCCCTTATCCTTGTCTGCTGCCCATACTGGCCGTGTCTGTCTTAGGTCGCCCCTCCTCGTGAGGAATCTTACCCATCTTTGACTAACTGACCATCACAGGGCCAAGCAGAGTGATGTGAGGGAGGTGTGGTGCTCCAAGAGTATATTCGCAGTTTAAGGACACAGTAAAGGTTTCTTTAGAGGCAACGGAAGCCATTAAGATGGTCTTCACTTCTGCATTCTTTTTTAGCCACATTCAGAATCTAACATCCTAGGCAGCATGTTTTGTACCTGAATTGTTACTGAACAAATAGACCCATGGTGGGGGCATTGCCCAGATCCTATTACCGAAACAACACCCTCCCCCTCCTTTTCCCGGGGTCCCTCAGTTGTAGGTCCTTTGCCCGCCAGAGTTTGGTGAATGGCAGAGTTTGGTGAAAAGGAAAGGAACTATTTATTCAAAAGTTATACAGGTTTGATTAATAGCTAAATGTCACCCTTAAACCTCAAAATCCCTTTCAAACAATCACTAGCACACACACCGTCCTGCCTTCTCCCGCTTTGCCAGTTAGGCCAGTCAGGCCAGTCAGGGTTACTATCCTTCAGAAGAAAAAGAACAGAAGTCTGGGACTCGGCTAGGCAGGCCTCTTGCGGGTCCCAGCACCATCTGCTGCGTCACCACAATCTCCAGCTCTTAATCCATAACTGTGTGGCACCTTCTCATGGCCCACTAGCAAGAGTCCTTTCTCCCCTCTTTCTTCCCGCGTGGTCTTCACACTGTTCCCCAGAGTCTGTCCCTTTTTCTCTCCTGCAGGCCCTGTCTCTCCTCCTTCCTCTCCCAGTTACATTCTGCATTAAGTCTTTTAAACCTTCCTGATTAGCCTTGGTGATATGCGAAATAACCCACCTTGCACAGAAGGAATGAAGCTATCCTGTTATTGACATGCAAACTGACTTCTCAATGGCCCTGCTCAAGGCTCCCATCCCCCATTGTGGCCCGCCCTGGGGTGGGGAGAATATATTTTTCTTGGACACTGATCTCTGGACCCCGTCAGAAATACCCTTGTGGGGGGGGGGGCCTGGAAGTGCTCCGTTACAAAGTGACATAGATTTAATGATCCGCAGACAAAGGCATCTTTTCATGAAATTAGGGTAATGTGAGTTTGGTAGCAACATAAGCCTTATAACAAAGATTCTGAATTGCATATTAACACTAATGAAACACTTAAATACACGTCTTAACTTGCTTTAAAATTTTTGTTTCAGGATATTGATGGATATTATAAAGGGGAACTTAGATGGAATTTCAAAACCAGCCTCACATTCAAGAACACGTCCTGGGAGCAGATGTTCAACTGCTTCTTTGGAGGTGCTCTCACCAGAGCCAGTGCCCTTCAAGGTACTTTGCTGTTTAGAAATGATTTAAACTCCTCCTGACCTCTAGCAATTGATAAATGAAAGTTGCTGTTAACATCGCATTTTAAGATTCCTCTTTAGAGGGTGTGCTGGGAGCACTCACAGATTTCTTGGATTTTACTTTAGATCATTTTATAGGAAATGCTGTTTCCTTCTTTCTTTATTTCCCTCTCCCCCCCCTTTTTTTGAATGAGGCTTATTTTTTGTAAGAAAGCTTTGTATTCCAATATCTGCTATGTCACCATTGACTCTTATTATGAAAAAGACATTAATTTTAAAAATATAGTTTGGTTAAACGCCATGTAGTATATATTTAGTAGGTATATTACCTGGCCATGACTTCCTTTTCTTTAATACTTAAAAAAAAAATTTAAGGTAGACTTACTGTACAAAATTATACATCATGCTCATGTGAAAAGGTCTTTCATATGTAGTTTGGGGGCAAAGCCCCATGACAAATAATTTTACTTTTCTAAAACTCTCTCAGGTCCTCCATGTAAGCAATTAGGTTAGTAAGAAGGAATGATGCACATTTTGGACTCACAATATATTTGAACACTTTTAAGTTTACCTGAGTAATAACGATGGATTTAGACTGAACATGTGGCATAAAAGGTGTTACAGTCATTTAACTCTTGCAGTCATATTGTCACTCTGCCAGTCATTTGCATATCTAAATATTGCCTAAGAAGACACGAAATTATAAAAAATCACAATGAACTGTCAAATTTTGGGAGAAAATTAACTGACTTTTGTGGCTTTCAATTACACAAACAACTTTTATCAAGAAAGTATCTCTTTTTTTTAAATATTGTTGTTCAAATACAGTTGCCCCACATTTTTCCCCCTGGCTCTCCCCTACCCCACCGCCCCCCACCACCCTGCTCCCACAGTCTGTCCCCACCCTGTTGTCCTTGTCCATCGGTCCTCTATACCTGTTCCTTGACTTGCTCCTTTGTCTTCTTTCCCCCGTTATTCCCCTCACTCCTCCCCTCTGGTCACTGTCAGTTTGTTCTTTATTTTCATGTCTCTGGTTCTATTTTGCTCTTATTTGTTTTATTGATAGGTGAGATCTATGGCCATTGCCTTTCACCACCTGGCTTATTTCACTTAGCATAATACTCTTCAGTTTCATCTATGCTGTCGCAAAGGGAAGGAGTTCCTTCTTTCTGCTGCATAGTATTCCATTGTGTTACTATACCACAGTTTTTTGACCCACTCATCTACTGATGGGCACTTAGGCTGTTTTCAGCACTTGGCTATTGTAAATAACGCTGCTATGAACATAGGGGTGCATAGATTCTTTTGAATTGGTGTTTCAAGATTGCTAGGATATAATCCCAACTGTGGAATTGCTGGGTCCAAAGACAGTTACATTTTTAGTTTTTTGAGGACATTCCGTACTGTTTTCCATAGTGGCTGCACCAATCTGCATTCCCACCAACGTGCACTAGGGTTCCCTTTTCTCCACAGTCTTGCCAGCAGTTGTTTGTTGATTTATTAATGAGGGCCATTCTGACCGGTGTGAAGTAGTATCTCATTGTGGTTTTCATTTTTATCTCTCTGATGGCCAGTGATGTTGAGCGTTTATTTCATGTCTGTGTGCCCTCTGTATGTCCTCCTTGGAGAAGTGTCTTTTCAGGTCCTTTGCCCATTTTTAAATTGGATTGTTTATCTTCCTGGTGTTGAGTCATGTGAGTTCTTTATATATTTTGGAGATGAAACTCTTGTCTGAGGTATCATTGGCAAATATATTTTCGCATATGGTCAGTTCCCTTCTTATTTTGTTGATGTTTTATTTCATCATGCAGACGCTTTTTAATTTAATGTAGTCCCATTTGTTTATTCTTTTCTTTATAGCCCTTGCCCTACGGGATGTATTGGTGAGAATACTGCTGTGTGGGATATCTGACATTTTCCTGCCTATGTTCTCCTCTAGGACTTTTATGTCACAACTTATATTTAACTCTTCTGTCCATCTTGAGTTTATTTTGGTGTATGGTGTAAGTTGGTAGTCTTGTTTCATTTTTTTGCATGCGCCTGTCCAGCTCTCCCAACACCATTTGTTGAAGAGGCTATTTTTACTCTTATTTTATGCTTCTGTACCCTTTGTCAAATATTAATTGACTATAGACACATGGGCTTATTTCTAGGCTCTCTATTCTGTTCCATTGATCTATGTGCCTGCTCTTATGCCAATGCCAGACTGTTTTGATTACAGTGGTCTTGTAATATAGTTTGATATCAGATATTACGATCCCTCCTACTTCGTTCTTCTTTCTCAAAATTGCTGAGGCTATTTGGGATCATTTATGGTTTGATATAAATTTTTGAAATATTCTATGTCTGTGAAGTATGTCATTGGTATTTTGATAGGGATTGCGTTGACTCTATAGATTGCTTTGGGTAGTATGAACATTTTAATGATGTTAATTCTTATAATCAGTGAATACAGTATATGGTTCCATTTGTATCTTCCTCAATTTCTTCAGTGTTCTGTAGTTTTGTGAGTACATGTCTTTTACCTCCTTGGTTTATTCCTGGGTATTTTATTTTTCTTGTTGCTATAATAAGTGGGACTTTTTCATAATTTCTGTTTCTGATATTTCACTTTCAGTGTACACAAATGCCTTCGATTTCCTAATATTGACTTTGTATCCTGCTGTTTTGGCAAATTCACTTATCAAGTCAAGTAGTTTTTTAGTGGAGTCTATAGGGTTTTCTGAGGAAATTCTGTGTTGTTTTCCCCAGTGGCCGCACCAGTCTGCATTCCCACCAGCAGTGCTCCTGCCCCCTTTGTTGAATACTGGTTAAACTAGTGTTCTTTTTTCCCTAATCTTTGCCAGTACTTGCTGTTTGTTGATTTATTAAGGATGGCCATTCTGATTGGTATGAGATGATATCTTGTTGTGGCTTTAATTTGTATTTCTCTGATGGCTAGTGATGTTGAGCATCCTTTCATATATCCGTTGGCTCTCTGTATGTCCTCCTTTGGAGAAGTGTCTGTTTAAGTCCTTTGTCCATTTTTTAATGGATTTTTTTTGTCTTCCTGGTGTTGAAGCAATCACTTCAAGTAAGATTTCATTTTGATACACTAAACTACAGTTAAAACTCTGACATATTTATTAGTTAACAGACCTTTGATAATTATATCAAAAGGAAAGCCTCCTAAAAATTGTGATTTGTGTTAATCAAGTTCACAGAAAACAAGTAAGGTTTGTATTAGGTTGGGGAAGAGAGTCACAGATATACTGCATGTTGACTGCTGATTGCAAATGATTCAATGTCTAAGAAACTTTATATATTGTCAGAATTATATATCCTGGAATTTTGATTTGTTTTATTGTTCAAATTCTGCTTTTATTGATATCTTACCAAAATTTTCTATGTGGCAGAAAATGACTTTAAAATGCTAGATTTTAAATTAAATTTCATTAGTAGTAATAGATTTCTAATTCTAAAAATTTTGGTTTATTGTTGCTTATGAATATTTTTCTTGAAAGGACCTATGGTTGTAATTTGTTTAAAAGTGTCGCATCTCGCAAGTAGGTAATCCAATTATTATAAAGGTTTTTATAGCATATTTAATCTATGTTAGAAAGGTTTTTATAGGGTATTTACTTTTCCCGGGACTAACATGCAAGGTATGGAGTGGGGGACATGGAGCAGTTAAAAGTGGAGGTGGAAAGTGGTTTTGAGAATGAAGAAGAGAGGAAAATCATACACATAGGCCACAGGGCAGAAGAGCAGGAGGGTTAGAAACAAAGAGGCTAGTGGAAAATGAATGGGTGGGGGAAGATGGGTGGGTATTATGGGTAAAATTGTGAAATGGGCAAAGTTTGCCTTTTGTTCTCCAGTTTCATCTTTTTGCCTTATTACTCCCTGCTCATTCTAAGAGTTCGGATTACATGGGTTGATCCATGTGAAAGGTCTTTGTGTATCCTGAAGTGTGCTCTCTGAGTATATTGCTAACATCTAGTTATCTTTTGTCTATTCTAATATTTCTCTATATAAAAACTCATTTTCAGAGTAAGGTTGGCTAAATTAATTTATGCCATGATATAAATGACTGACAAGGCTCCTGTGACCTCTCCCAGCAATTTCAGCATTTTCACAGAACTATATACCCTTAAGGATTTACTGGATATTATGGAATTTCAGGTTTTACCTGGCCTTTGATAGATGTATGTTTTTGAACAAGGAACCCTCTTTAACACCTCTGAGATTACATAAAGTAGGCATTATTTTGTTTGTTTATAAATTCGGCCTTCACCAGTTTCATTCTGAACTGGATTTGTTTTCTTCTCTGTTAAAGTGGGTAGCAGTGCCTTCACCATAAGGTCATTGTGTGGAATAAGGAGGCAGTGTGTATAAGGTACTTAGCACAGGACATGGCTAATAGTAATTCATCAATAAATGGTGCCTATAATTATCATATCACTGACTCAGCACAGTTCCGTTGGGATGTACGTACTAATTCAGGTGAACAGAGATGCTCCTGTAGTCCTGTATCCCTGGTAGTTTATTCTCAGCACCGCCAGCCTTCTGCCTTGGCGTTTCACAAGGGGACACGGATTACAATAGGGAGATTGATCACAAGGGTGCAGAAGACTGAGCCCTGAAGGGCCGGAGCAGTCAGTCCTTCCACTGGGAGGGAGAAGGCGCTCCTTTCAGAAGTGGCTGGCTATCTCACCCTGAGGTTTTGACTCTCCCTTGGGCTGTGTTCATTTCCACCTCCACGCACTGCCATGCGCAGTCCTCAGGGCCCTGTGATCCCTGTTTTCTGTTGACTCAGCAATGGATGTCTTTTCTTATTCACTCTCAGGAAAACACAGCTGCACCAAAGTGGTGTTTCCAAAATGAACTTTGCTAAAATGGAAAGAGAAACCATAATGAAGTAGAAAAACTGTGAATAGCATAAAAATAAGTTAATCACCAAAGCACATGGTTCTGACTTGAAGAAGTTCATTAGAAGCATATCTCAGTTCAGACTATTCACTTTTCAGCCATTCAGTGGCCAGCCACATGTGGCTAGTGGCTCTCATATAATATTGGACAGCACAGCTCTAGACCTCTGACTCCTCCTCTGAGTGTAAGCTCACGGGGCAGGGGCCGTCATGCCTCATTCCCAGAGCCTGGTGGTTGTTCACTTCAGGACTGGTTCCTGACTTTTCTCCATTATTGCTAGAAATTGCTACAGGACAGTACATAATTTTTTGGTGCAAGTTGTTATGAAATTTAATTGTGTAGTTAAATCGTATTTAATTAAAGAGTATTCTATTCCTAGAGTACTTTAATGCCAGTGTATGTGTGCTCCCCTATATACTTCCATTTTCTAAGATAGTCTAGAAATTTAAAGTTTAAAAACATACATTATTTTTTAAAAAGTGTTTCTTTTGAAATAACTTTTAGGTTGATACTGCAATTAAGTCAAACTCTGATAAAGAGGGACACTCAGAAAGCAATAATACGGAGGGAAGTAGAAACAGTAATGACGATAAAGGGGAAAACTGTGCTGAGACAATAATACTGGCCGAAGAGGGGTCAGATGAAGATTTGAACTTGGTTCAACATCAGATAATCTCTAAATGTTCAGGTAAGTGATTGGCTAATGATAATTACAGATACTAAAATATTAGAATTAGATATGTTTTTTTATCAGCTAAGTAGAAATAATTAAAAAATGAATTTTTATTTTGTGAACAAGCAATCATTAGTTATTATTTAGAAGAATATTAAAAGTCCTTAAATATACTTAGAAAAATAATAAGATATGTCATTTAATAAAACTGTTATTGCGATCATTTAACATTAATTGATTAGGAAGTATTTCTGCATTTTATTACATGAGTTATTGATCTTTTTGATGACCAGAATTGCACAACAAAATGTATCCTGTAACTTATAAATACTCTTTTAGGGGTAATCCCATTTGATCTTAGTAACTTTTGGATTTTGAAAGGCTCCTTTTTTCATGGTTATTAAATTAATACTGGTCAGAGTGAATTAGAACAGCAGTTCTCAAAATGTGGTCTGCAGAGCTGTGGGGATCTCTTGAGATCCTTTCAGTGGCTCTGCAAAGTAAAAACTACTTTCATTATAGTACTGATGTAATATATTAGTAATATAGTTTATATCATAATACTAAATCTATTTGCTTTCTTGCCCACTGAATGGACATTTGCACTGATGGTACAAAAAGCAACGTGGGTACAATTGCTGATGCTTTATTTTACCCTGACTGGTGTGGCTCAGTGGGTTGGGTGTCGTCCCACAAACTGAAAGGTTGCCAGTTCAATTCCTGGTCAGGGCACATACCTGGGTTGTGGGTCAGGTCCACGGTTAGGGGCATGTGAGAGGCTACTGATTGATGCTTCTCTCTCTTGCATCACTGTTTCTCTCTCTCTCTTTTTCCCTCCCTTCCTCTCTCTAAAAGTAAATAAATAAAATCTTGTAAAAAAAAATTGCTGGTGCCTTAGTATGAATGAAGGCAATGACATCAACTTGTACTATTAGTCATTGTAATCTTCATGACCAGACACTGGCAGCAAAAGAAAATAGCCAGTGTCATTCAAGAACATCTTTGGAGCAGTAAAAATTAATAATTTTATAAAATCTTGACCTTTCAACGTACATCTTTTTAATATCCTGTGTGGTAGAATGGGAGGTACATGTAAAGCAATTCTGCTGTATTCCAAAATGTGAAGGTTGTGTTGAGGAAAAGTACTTGTGTGATAGTTTAAGCCGAAAGCTGAACTGGTCACTTTTTAAATGGAGCATCATTTTTACTTTAAAAAATGACAAAAATTATTATCATTCAGACTTAGGTATTTGGCAGTCATTTTTTTAAAAAATAAAACGAGCCTATTAACTCAAGGGAGACAAATAACAGTATTTTTTGTCAATGATAAAATTTGAAATTTCAAGTAAAAGTTAAAATTTTGGAAAACCTATATATGTCTGTGTGAGCTTGACAGCTTCCCAGTACTTAGGCTTTTTCTCTTCTTTTTTTTTATGTTTTGGTTCCCCATTGGGGAATTGAACCCTGGTCTCCAGAGTAGACTTTTCTAATAAAAATTGGTGGCCATATTAACAAATGTGATTCTTTTGATACTATATTCTGAAATATGTTAACAGTTTGAAGGTCAACATAATTCGGTAAAATAAAACAGAACCACTGTTTTCCAAATGACCAATGCAGGGTAAAAGATCCCTTTAACATAAAAGATTGAGCCAGGGATTTTAATGGAACAAATACAAAAAGCTCACCAATATGATTACAGATTTTTCATTACAACTAACTTTTTAGAGACCTCCCCTTGTAGAGTTATGTAGTGTCGAAGAAGAGTATTCACCATTACGTGAAAAGGCTGTTAAGTTCCTTTCCTACTATATGTCTGTGTGAGGCCAAATTTTCTTCATACACTTTAACTAAAATAACAGATTGTAATAGATGGACTTCAGAAGCAAACATAAGAATTCAGCTGTCTTCTGTTAAGTCAAATACTCAAAAATTAAAACAGTGCCATTCTCAATATTTTTTGAAAATATAGCTGTCAAAAAATGTCCTGTTTCTGTTAACATATAATTAATAATAATGTTTATTATTTAAAAATGAGTAAAAATATTTATACCATTTTTAATTTTTAATTTCTAATATTGTAATTATTAATGGCTATAACTCACATAAAAGCTACTCTGGGTTTTGAGTAATTTTTAAGGATGTAATTGGAAGCTAAGATTCATACATTGCGAACTCTGCTGATTTAGAATGTGTTTGAGATGAGATCAGCTCTCAAAGTCAGGCCAGGTGACTCAGGCTTACAGTTATTAGGAAACAAGGTATTGCAATTGAGATTAGCTGTCACCCAGTTTACATTGTATGTGTTAATATTGTTTCAGTTCTGCATGAGTTACTTCAAAATGCCTGCTGTATAGACCACCTATGTACATGGAGCCTGAGGATGCTAGGGTTTGCAGTTGGGAATTAGAACTAGAGGCCGTTGCATTTGAAGTATGTAAGCAATAAGATTTGTAGAGCCTCCTTATTAATATCATCAGTATTAATCAGTGTTCTTTTTGGATAAGCTTATTCCCTCTAAAAATATTTTATTTTCCTTAAAGAGAAAGTAATATACCTTATGGGAAACCATCATTGGACTCTGGATTTTCGAAAGTTGCAAAATTTGGCCTTTCTTAGCATAGTATCTCATTTCTAACGATCTAAACTAGGGTAGCTGAGACTTCAGTATTTGAGCGCTTATGTGCGTTGCCACATCATCGTCTTTCCTCAGACTTCACAGAGGAACTGTCGCCTCATGGTAAAGAGCTTTGGCTTTGGAGTCAGACAGATCTGGGTGGAAACTAACCCAACTATTAACTAGTTATATCATCTTGGATATATATGTAACTCAGTTACGCATTAGCTTCAGTTTACAAATTTGTAAAATGGGAACAATAATTATAGCACCTCACAGGGTTATGATGAGGAGGAAGTGAGATAATGCTTGTAAACAAAGCACTTAACACTGTGCCTGTCGGGCGACTCTTTATATGTTGGCTGCTATGAGGAAAGTTTCTATAGAGTCCCTAATTTCAAATAATTACTACCAATTATCCACAATTCAAGAACATTTTTAGGTACATTGAGAAAATAGAACATGTAGGAGGGACATAGATAAAGAAGTCTGGTTACATGGCATCCTTTTCTGAATTCGTTTCTGTATGTTGGAACTGTTTTGTGTCACTTATGACATGCTCTATTTTACCATAGCTATTGTGCACATGCTTTCTCTTTCAATTAGTCTGAAGCAGCTTTGGGATAGTGTCTTTGTCTTATTCTTTATTTGTTAATTATGAATATAGAAGTTATAGCAGAATGAAGGAGAAAGAAGTTGGGATTTAAAATCATACAAGATCCATTTTTGGGGGTTCAATAATTTATTAACTATTTAAAAGTGCCCAGCTGTCTCACCTGTACAATAGAGATACATGTCTATTTCACAGTATTAGATAATTATATGAAAAAATATGTGTGAGAGCACCTTGATTACTTGACCCCGATGTTAGTTATTACTATCAGCCATAAATATTTGTTGAATGAAAGAAGAAATAGTAAAAACAAAACAAAACAAAACTTTAAGGTTTGCTAAACTTCAAGCTTATTTCTACTTTCGACACAATATAGATGAACCCAAATTAAATGAATTAAATTCTCAACTTCAAGAAGCTATTCAGAAGATGAAGAGGCTTGATAAAATATTGGCGAAGAAACAATCCAGGGAAAAAGAAATTAAGAAGCAAGGTCTAGAAATGAGAATAAAGTTATGGGAAGACCTTAAGGTAAGAATTGTGTAACCACACTCTGACACATAAGAGGCAATTTCCTCTGTGATGAGTAAGAAAAGCATGGACTGTGGTAGTTATTCAGGCAGAGTGCGTTGATTGATTCGTTTTGTGGAGGCAGGTAACATTTCTGCCTTCGGGCCCTGCGCTGGCGCTGGTGTGTGCATTCCCCATGGACAGCCCAGTAGGCCTCTCACCAGTGTCGGGCTGCAGCTCCTCCGTCTCTGGAATAGGAAGGGGTGTCATGCCTACTTTCATTAAGTATGTATATCTGCTTTTTCTTCAGCAAGTTTACACATTTTGGATACAAATATACAAATACAGAAAAATTTAACCTCCTCGTTCTCATTATTATTTGAGTAAACTTTTGTGATGAGTATGTGGGGGAGTTCGTCATTTCATATGCTGGTTAAGATCTCTTTGGGAAGCTGTAAAGTGCTTGAGGCTTGGGGTCTGGGACCATGCTCTATTTGCTTTTGTCTTAATATTTCTAGTGCTCAATTAACTTTCCTTGGCCTTCTTGGACCTCTTATTCTCTGTATTATTGAGGGGTGGATGTTGACCAGATGTTGGCACTGACTTGATATATAGCTATTGGCTCACACTTGAGCTTTGCCCCTCAAAGGAGGGTACTTTTAAGGTAAGGAACATTGTGACAACTGTCGTTTTTCGTAAATGCCTCCTTGATCAATTGACTGACTTTGGAGGAAATTTCCCAGACAATAGTATGAATTAATAATACAGTAATTAAGAATACATTTTTACACGGTTCCCAGGAAGACCACTAGGATGGAAGGAAAACAACATACAAAATGCTTTAAACTAGAGAAATAATTTTTTTAAATTTTAACAGAAAAATATTAACCTATTACTTATTTTATTGAATTTCGCAGCAAATTTTTATCTTGGAAACAAGAATTATAACTGGAAGCATAATAAAATACAATAGTAATCTTGAAATGTCTGAAATTGTAATCTGATGTACTCATTAGTTATAAAAATATTAAACAGAATCTTAAGAAACTTTAAACAAGGTAATTATGATATAATGGTAGACATATACTCCGATTATATTTAGGAATACTTGTTGACAGAATTTTGTGGGGACAGGAAACATTAATAGACTTCCTAATTAATTCCTAATCCCTAATTAAAGGAATAAAAATGAACTGAGTCTTCTTGTTTGTATATACACAATTGAAAACTGCATTGAAATTTAGCAAAATATCATTGTTGCTTTCTTTTCACATATTTCAACTTTCTTTTCTCTTTTATTAGTCTGCAAAAAATAGTGAAGCTTTGCTAAGTAATGAGGAAATGGAAAATACAAAAAAGTTTCTAGCTTTGACTGCTGCATCAGAAGAAACTGTTGGTGAGTGAAATTGACTCATCTTTATTTTTATCTAAGAGTCATAAAATATTTGGATTAAGGTAAAATTCCCAATTTAATTATTTTTTTTTCTTTGTGAGTTTAACTTTTTTTTTTCCCCCAAGGAGAAATGATCACATTAGGTAGGATTATATGGAACTATCTTGAGCTTAGGTATGTTTCAGAGTTTTTAAGGGCTTCTCTCTGCTCAAGGTGGGGGGGCAATGCAGTGAAAAATCAGGAAATAGACAAAATATGTCTTTTCCTATACTTGCTATGTGTCTTAGATGCCTCTAAACCCAGTTTATGTCAACAGTCCCCTAAAGGCCTAGGATCCTCCTGCAAGGTATCTCACGCAGGCCTTTGCAACTCCTTTCATAAAAATCCATTTACTGATTTGTCCTATTTTCTGTTCTGTCACAGTTCTGGTTTTTAAAGACCAGCCAATCAATTTTGCACATAATGTTTCTACTTTCCCACTTGAGTGTAGTATATTTGTGATTCTTCTCCTCCTCATCTTCCTTTTTCTTCTCTTTCTTTTTTCTTATATAGAACTATTATGGAATCATATAACCTATTTAACCTTCTTACATATTGAAGAAAACTTTAGGGGTTGGGAAGCAGTTGGTATTTTTTTGAAGGACACTTTTTAAATCCTTTAACCTTCATCATGTAAGTGGTCATCTGGTATTGCCTGGGCATTAGATTGGCTTCAAGCAGGGGCTTCTGATTTCCCTGAGAATCCTGGAATCCATTTGTCTTTTACAAAATGAATGTTAAACATTTTAGAATCCCAAGAACCTGATACAGGCTACTGCGACTCTTTAGCATGAGCTTTGATGAAGATGAAATTCCTTGGGGTTTGTTCCTTTCCAGTCCCAGATTTTAGAGCTCAGAATTTGCTTGAGTCTCTCTCCCTGCACAGAGAGAGAATGATGCAGGCCAGTTCCTGCCCATAGTGAGTTCAGTAGTGTCCCTCCAAAATTCATGTCCACTTGGAACCTCAGAATGTGACCTTAACTCATGGACAAAACCAAAGGGGAAGAGCTGAGGGAGGGAAGGAGGGAGGGGGCAAGGGAAAGTGGTGGGAGGGGGGGAGGCAGAGACAAATGTATTTAAAAAGTAAATAAATTAAAAAAAAATAAATTAAAAAAAAAAAGAATGTGACCTTATTTGGAAATGGACCTCTACATATGTAATTAGTTAAGATGAGCTCATACTAAGTTAGAGTGGGCCCTAAATCTAGTAATTGGTCTACTTATGAGAAAGCAAATAGAGACACAGAGACACAATGCCATAGGAAAGAAGATGTGAAAATACAGGTAGTGACTGGAATAATGTAGCTACAAACCAAGGAACACCAAGGATTCTGGAACCACCAAAAGTTAGGAAGAGGCAAGGAAGGATTCTTTTTCAGACACTTCAGAGGGACGATGGTCCTGCCAACACCTTGATTTCAGATGTCTAGCTTCCAGAACTGTGAGAGAATAACTGTTGTTTTTAGCCACTCAGCCCACAGTATTGGGTTAGCCAAAAAGTCCGTTTAGTTTTTTCCATAAAATAAGACATACTTTCCATTTTCATTAATAACTTTATTGATTTGGATACTTTGAGTATGTTGGCTATCTCCCACCTGGTATAACATTGATTATTCTCAATTAACATCTCGATTTGATTGCTATCAACTTTAACTGGTCTACCCAACCACGGAGCATCGTCCAGCAAGAAATTTCAAGCACAAAACTTCACAAAGCACTTTTGACACAATCAGTCACAGCAGCTTCTCCATACACTGCACAAATCTTTTTGTGTTTTAGTTGCATTTTTACTTTTCTTGAAATAATAAAGCATAATATGTCAAAAAGTCACTTATTTTCTTCCATTTTCAATATTAAAATGGCTAATCAAAAATTCACCAATTTTGATAAGTCTTTTTAAAATTCATGTTGATATGACAGCTGTCACAATACACTCTAACAAAATTGTTTTGAATGAAGTTAAAGTCAGCTAAGCACTAGTAGAGCCATCTTATGGAAAAAACCAAATGAACCTTTCAGCCAACCTAATAATTGGTTACAGCTATCTAGGAAACTAATACGTCCACTATTCCAGCTACCTTAGTGTAGGCACCAGACATGTGAATGAAGGAACAACTTTGAACATTTCCTCACTAGCAAAGACCGCTTAGGAAGAGCCAAAGTCAGACATATGGCCCCAGGTGCACTGCTCCAGGCATCTCCAGCCAGATGCAGCCACCACAGCCGAGGCCTCATTTTTGATGGAACAGAGACAAATTGATCCTGTGGTTTCCCTCAAATTACAGACTCACAGATAAAGTGAGTGATTGTTTTATGCCACTAAGTTTCTAACATTTTATTTTGAAATAATTTTAAACCTACAGAAAAGTTACAAAATAATACATAGAGTTCCAGTAGATTTCTTACCCAGCTTCCCTTAATGTTAGCATCTTGTATAACCATACAGCAATGATCAAAACCAAGAAATTAACATTGGTACAGTACTGTTACTTAAACTGACCTTACAATTTATCAGTTTTTTCCCCTAATGTCCTTTTTATTTTCTGGTATGCAGCTTGGGATCCCATATTGCATTTAGTGTCCTGCCTCCTTAGTCTTCTGTAGTCTCTGATAGTTCCTTAGTCTTTCCTTGTCTTTCATAATCTTGACATGTTTAGAAAGTATTGGTCAGTTATGTTATAAAATATCCTTCAATTTCAGTTCATCTGATATTTTCTATTGATTGGATGGAGGTTATGCATTTTGGGCAAAATACCCTGGAAGGGATGTGCTCCTGTCAGGCATACTCAAGAGTACCTACTATTGATACATATCTTATTACTGGTGATGTTAACCTTGAAAACTTGGTTAAGGTGGTGCTAGCTGGCTTTCTCCACTTTCTCAAAGTTACTATTTTTCCATTTGAAATTAATAAATATCTTGGGAAAGATACTTTAAGACTATGCAAATATCCTGTTTCTCCTCCAATTTTCACCCACTAGTTTTAGCATCCATTTGTAGTTCTTGCTTGCAATAATTATTACTCTATGCCACTAAATTTTGGGTGACTTTTTAATGCAATGATAGATAACTGGAGTGATTTACATCAGCATTATCTTTAATGACTGTATATTGATCCACTATATGGATGTACCATCATTTGTTTAACCTGTACCCTGCTGTGAAACATTTAGATTGTTTCCTTTGTTTTAATTTTTTTTCAATTATATGTAATGCTGTAATAATATCCTTAGGCAATTATTTTTTTTTATTGCCTTATGTGGTCAGCCAAAAAAAAAAATGCTATGCCCATCTGCCCCTAAGAGGTATTCATGCCAAATTTCCTGGAAGCTATGAATTTTACCTTATTTGGAAAAAGGGTCTTTGCAGATACAATTAAGTTAAGGATCTTAAAATGAGATAATCCTGGAATATGGAGGTGGGCCCCTAAATGCCATCGTAAGTATCGGTGAAAGAAAGAGGCAGGGGGAGATGAGATACATAGCAGAGAAGGAGTCAGTGAGATTGGAGTGACACGGCTTCAAGCCAGGGAATGCTGGCGGCCACCAGAAGCTGGATGAGGTCAGGAGCAAATCTCACCTACAGGCCCTGGAGGGAGCATGGCCCTACTGATTCCTTGGACTTCTGGCCTTCAGAACTGTGGGAGAATAAATTTCTATTGTGTTTTTTTTCTCTCTCTGATTTTTCACTTTATTTTAAAAAATATTTTATAGTTTTTCTGTTAGAGTTGTCCCCATTTTTCCCCCTTTGCTCTCTGCCCAGCTCCCCCTAACTCCCACAGTCAAACCCCACCCTGTTGTCCATGTGCATATCATTCGTACATATGCCTTGATCCGTACTTTCCCCTTCTTTACACCCTTATTCACCGCCTCCACACCCTCAGGTCACAGGCAGTCTATTCCTTGTTTCCATGCCTTTGGTTCTATTTTTACTTGTTTGTTTTGTTCATTAGGTTCCTATTATAGGTGAGATCATGTGGTATTTGTCTTTCACCACCTGGCTTATTTCACTTAACATAATATTCTCCAGATCCATCCATGATGTGAAAGGTAGGAGTTTCTTCTTTTTTTCTACTGTATAATATTCCACTGTGTAAATGTACCACAGTTTTTTCATCCACTCATTCACTGACGGGCACTTAGCCTGTTTCCAGCACTTGGCTATTGTAAATAACACTGCTGGAGCATAGGGGTGCATAGGTTCTTTTGAATTGTGTTTCAGGATTCTTAAGGTATAATCCCAGCAGTTGAATCATTGGGTCAAAAGGCAGTTCCATTTTTAGTTTTTTGAGGAAATTCCATACTGTTTTCCACAGTGGCTGTACCAGTCTGCATTCCCACCAACAGTGCACTAAGCTTCCTTTTCTCCAAATCCTCACCAGCATTTGTTGTTGATTTATTAAAGATGGCCATTCTGACTGGTGGGACGTGATATCTAATTGTGGTTTTAACTTGCATCTCTCTCATAGCTAGTGATGTTGAGCATCCTTTCCTATGCCTGTGTGCCCTGTGTATGTCCTCCTTGGAGAAGTGCCTATTCAGGTCCTTTGTCCATTTTTAAAATGGATTGTTTGTCTTCCTGGAGTGGAGTCATGTGAGTTTTTTATGTATTTTGGAGATGAAACCCTTGTTTGAGGTCTTTTTGGCAAATATGTTCTCCTATGTGGTCAGTTCCCTTTTCATTTTGATGATGGTTTCTTTAGCTGTGCAGAAACTTTGTAGTTTGATATAGTCCCATTTGTTTATTTTTTCCCTTTATTTCCCTTGCCCTAGGAGCTATATCGGTAAAAAATATTGCATGTGGGATATCTGAAATTTTCCTGCCTATGTCCCCCTCTAGGACTTTTATGCTGTCATGACTTATATTTATCCATCTTGAGTTTATTTTGGTGTATGGTGTAACTTGGTGGTCTAGTTTCTTTTTCTTTTTCTTTTTCATTTACCTGTCTAGTTCTCCCAACACTAT